TTTCCATGTGCAAGACCTTCATTGCTAAAGGAAGGCTTTTCTCATTTAAAATTGTGCACATTACTCGCAGGAAACGGGTTTTCTCTTTATTTACATGGAGACTGACCACCCAACACAAAATAATATCAATTACTATAAATGTACTTTTGAGTGCTGGATCTTTCTAACTCTTTAAAATCCTTTTGAATTTTTACTGTGACAACTCAGCCATTGTAATACTTCCTCCCTACAGAATGTGAATTTTAGTGTTCTCACAGTTTGTAAAATGATACCTTCAGCTATTTATTTATTTTAATTGTGTTCTTTTAGATCCTTAAAAATAATATTTTCTTTCCAGTCATGTTTTTCCTTTTCCATTTAGAAAAAGACGATCGTTTTTATGGTCCCTGTTGGTTTCTTATGATGGAGAAACTGACACTGCAGGAACACATGCACTCATTTATTTGTCAGAAACAAGGATCAACAAGTGCCAGCAGTGTTCTGGGAATAAAGTTTATTAGTATGCATATACTCCCTTAGCAGTCATTGAATGACTGTCATTGATGTAAAACAGCAAAATTAAATAGGAGTTTTTCATATACAAAAGCTCTTTTTAATATTCAAGCCTCAAATACTAAATTCCTTTAAATAATAGAAAAGAAAATGCTTGCTGGACTGGCTTTTATGTAGCAATATGCCATCACCAGGTCAGTAAAGTCACTTCATAGAGCATTGATAGTTAATCCCTAAAGCAGCATTATTACAGTAAAAAATGAGCACCAGATACCTTGTGTTCAACAGGGGATTATTAGAAAATGTGGTCTTTCTTGGTTTGATCACGTTTGTGTTCAAATGAACAGTCCTGCTAAAATCAGCTTCAGACATCGGATCCATTGTCAAGGTGAGACAAAGCTGCGTGACTTCGAGCAGTCACTGTATTTCAGCTCAGAGGAAATGAACCCCTCAAACATCATTGCATATTTGGGATAATTCTGCAGTCCTCCATACTGTCTGTCAACGGAGGCAAAATGAGTTCTGGCATAAATAGATCTAATAAAGAAATTAAAGCTGCAAGTGTCATCGGGTTCATATTATGGCAGATTTCCTACACCCGCTGAAGCAGACAGTAGCTATTTAAATCATAGAGTAGTAACTTCTATTTTTAGTTAATAGAAAGCATTCAAAGGAGGCAGGCCAACAGAAGGTTATGATACTGCCACTCCCTTATGTTAAATAGCATCTTATCACCATATGTCAGACAAGCTGTATTTTTGGAGATCTGCAGGAATCTGATGGGAAGGCTCTCCCTTGCATACAGATAAAACTCTTCTACACAACAAGGCAGTGGGCTCTGAAGGTATCTGCGGGGACTCGGCAGGTTGTGGAAGCCACTGTCTTGGCAGAGAAGCTGATCTGCTGTACCACATCCCTGTGCAAGGCAGCAGCCTCTGACATCTGACTTTGTGCAAGGCAGGGCAGTGTCCTGCCCAGTTTTAAAATGGCACCTTGCATTTGTGCAAGGCAGTGACTCTGGTCTCCTGCTGAGTATGATGCTGTTGCCTTAGTTTTCCCTACTTCAAGGCTGCGCAAGTAATTCAGATATTCTGTTTAATCTGATAGAACATAGACTTTTTCATAGAATCCACATACAATATGAAAATAATGAATTCCCAGGCTTTAGAATTATTCCAAGTATTGTTACCACCTTAGACTCATAGCTGAGTTACCTCAGTATCTGCTAACTCCGCAGAAATCATGTCTTGCAATAGTAGGATAAGAGTGGGTAATGAGTGTTAGATTTAAGTATTTATCCACAACCACTGAAATCAAATTGCTCTGCAGGAGAGTACATACTGCTCTGGATATCACAGAAGTCTCAATGTTTTTTTCTAGGAAACTGAACTTATCAGAAGTATCCAGGAGCTTTTGAAAAGAACTTTGATGCAAGCTGGTAACCAGATGCGGTAAGGCATTTTTCACAATACCTTAGTAGCTAATTTATATAGCCAAATAATTCCTGGTGTATAGGGTTACAATGCCTAGTGGATAAAGATCTTACCAATGCCAGGCAGATGTGCTGTGTGAATTCCATTTAAACCTGAAAACAGATACTCAGTGATGAAACATCAGGATTTTCAAGTAGGGTAAGGTAGGAGAAGAGCCATGCCCTAAAGCCATGCTGTAGATTTTCAGTCCTGGTTTCCAGAATCTGTATTCGGTTCTCTAATTTTCCAACACTAAGCTTAAGTGCAATAAAAGTATTATCTGGATATCACTCTACCTTTTAGACAGGCTTAGATAGGCTCCTTTGAAATAATTTATCTGATCAAAGGGCCTTTTCAAGATGGGTTTTTTGACGCCAGATGTCAGTATGAACTTAAAATATGCAACTTCACGCTACTGTCTGGCAGTCTTTTTAATTCCTTAGGTGAGAGTGACATCTGGTGTTAACAGCTGACAGCGACCCACTGTCTTTTGTAATCTGTAAAAGACCCACTGTCTTTTGTAATCTAAAAGTCACACATTCCAATTAACTGGGTGACGTGCGACTCATGTAATTGGCAGCAAAGCAGCAGTTTTAACTCTGTATATCATTGTACTTGTATCTTCCAAGGACAAATTACACCGTCTGCGTGCTACAGTCTTTGAAAGGCTAGATAGGAAGACTGGGAGAATGATATAGGGTCACTTTATGGAGGTCTTAAATTTGAGTCATGCTCAATATACTAGCGAAAGAGAAGGATGGTCTTCTACTAGCACTACCTGATGTCTTATCATGGGAAGAGAGTTCTGTTGGGCAAACCTCCTCCCTATTCGCCCCATAATAACTGCAGCTGTCACCACTGTTGAAAAAATCCTGTGGTTTAGGATTATTATGTAAATTCCAAAGCTCAACAACTCCTCTGTCTCAGGCTATAAGAGCTCTAAGTCTTCAGTAGGCACAGAACAGTGGTGAAGGTCTACGGTAGTGGTTAACCCATCAGGCTTACTGTCCTTCTAGCAGATAATTGTGGGATAGAGTTTGGTTAGGATTTTCAAGACAAAAAGGAATGTTCTCATTGCTCTTTGAAAGACAAAGGCTCAGAGCATAGCTTCACAAATGTCTGTGATTGATAGTTTTGTTAACTGTATTATTTTTCACTAACAATGTGTGATAATAACTTTTCAGATTAAATCGAAATCACAAAGAGGTTTGTGAAATGGACTGGTCAGACAAAGTTGAAACGTACAACATTGATGATAAATGTGGAAGATACAGTAACCAGAGCACCAACATCCAGTTCCATTCTAGTTCAGTGAAGTTTGAAGAGAGGTGAGTAGTTACCGTCATTTTCCTCCACAAATAACCCTGGTAAGATACAATACATCCTTTCTGTTAGTGAAAGCTGTAATACTGCTCTGAATTAAAGGTGTGATTGCTGCTTCTTTGGACATACAATGTCATAGCTTTAAAATAGCTACATGGATAGTAAAGGTGGTGCTACCAGCTCAGCATGGCATACCACTGATGGCAAAGTTGGTTCACTGTGTGCAGCTGTGTGCAAGCTTGTAGTTTTTCTTGGAAATAATTGGCTTTATACTTTTAAAGGCTGATCTAAATCTTACTGAGACTTACTGTTTGACATCAGCAAAAGGCAAGTGCTGCTTCCTGTACACAGAGAGGATTACTCCTAGAAAAAATCTTGCTGCTTCCCCCTCCCCTTTCAGGCAGTTCACACCGCACCCAAGTGCTATGTAGTTCCTTCTGCTGCTCAACATGGCAAAGTATAACCAGAGTTCTTGTTTCTTTTTGTTTCAAAGTATACACAGACTGTAAAGCTTGAATATATTAATGTGTTTATTTGCTGGTGACTTAACTGCTTGTTCTTTCACAAAAAAGTATGTATATACTTTTTTTGCCTTAGTAGTATTAGCTAAATATGGAAGAACTTTGGATGATTTTGTGTCATGTATTACTTCCCTCAGAAGCCACATGATGAACAAGAGTTTATTAATTTTATAAAGGATTAGTCTTTTTCCTTCATGGTAAGTCTAGACTGCATGAAACAGCAAAAACAAATAGAGGTTGACAACACTTTTGCGGGGAGAGAACCAACTTCACATTGTCTTCTTATGTGCCACTTGAACAAAAGAGCAAGGTTCCTATTTGTGTACCATTCACCTCTTCTTCCAGTGCCTCAACACCAGAGACATGGGCCAAGTTCAGTCATGACAACATCTATAGGGCAGAACGAGAAAAACTGGCTTCCATCAATCTTCGTGCCTTGATTGACAATATTCTTCATGACGTATCTGAGGACCTGAGGATGCAATGTGCTGCTGTTAATGAGGCTTTTGCCAAACGCTGTGAGGAGCTGGATGATACAAAACACAAACTAGAGTATCATTTGAAAAAAGTAAGTGTTCTTTTTTGAATGCTGGCTACAGGTGTGATAGTCTCCTTTAGAATATCACAGTAGATTTATCCTCTAGAAAAAAGTTTTAGTCCATGTCAGGTATCGAACACTATTTTTTTGTGTCAGCTTAGTGTCTGATAAGAGTCTTCAGAGCTGGATTGTGGCTCCAATTCAGCTTTTTCTGCTCTCTGTTGTGCTTCTTTAAACAAGGGATGGACTTAAATATGAAGAAAATTAAATACTTTCTTCCATGTTTTGCTGGACTAAAACCTAAAACTGTGTGATAAAGAGCTGATCTTTGGGCCAGGATTCCCAGGCTAGCCTGGTTGTCACTTTTACGGATTGAAAGCCATGCTATGCTGCAGTAGTATCGGCAGCAGCAGTTCCTGGCAAGTGACCAGAGGTGTCTTCAGCCTCTGCCCCTTCTCCAAGCTGGAGCAGGTCCTACTTCTGTGTGAGGATATTGGCAAGTGTGGAAAAATAGTCATTCCTTAGCACCTGGTGGGTAATGACAGCAGAGTAGACTTTGTTTTTTGCATGTGTGTCAGCGGTTATGAGGGAGAAGGGATTCAGAATTTCCTGGGTTTTCCATTTTCTTCACTAATGCCAGAAACTCATGCATTTCCAAGCTGATCAGCAATTCTCAATCTCTTTCAAAATAACTTGAATTTTTCTTGGATAATTTACAGTTAAACATTTACAATTAAAAGCAACTCATGGAGGTGGGATGTGTTGTCAGAAGACATGGAATAGTTTTTGAACAGGCTGCAGAATACTTTCTGCTTCTTTTTAGACTGAAGATCAGATTCTCAGTGTAGTAGTAGAAATAAAGAGGTCAAAACCACCTTTGTACTTCTATTTCTTCTATATTCTGGCCAAATAGGAGGTCTACACTATAACTGGTTCACTAGGACCATGAACAGATGTAGAGCATGGACAGAGACAATGTGTATCTTTTTTTAAACAATTCTTTCTCATGGGTATCTTCTTCAGATCCTTAAGGAGATTGGAGATCAAGAAGCTAACATTGCTGCTCTCAAACAAGCTATCAAAGACAAAGAAGCCCCAATGAAAGTTGCTCAAACAAGGCTGTATGACAGGGCTTTTAGGCCCAATGTAGAGCTCTGCAGAGATGAAGCACAATTCAGGTAAACTCTATTAAGCAAGTCCTACAAGGTGTCCATTCTATACAGAAGTGATGTATAAAAGTTAGATGTTTTTTACATTTTTTATTGGCAACACATAGCCTTTAGCTTTTATTACTAGGTTTGATTCTGATATGTCAGAAATAATTCAATTGATGGAAATCACTGGGAGGAGAATATAATTTTAACTGAATGTATTGACAAATAGAAAATCTATAGATTCAACTCTGCCTTTTGTCTGTAACGCTTTCTTCTCTGAACTGTGTGGTTTCTTTTTGGTTTAGATGATCCAAAAAAATCTGACAGCACGTGGATCACTTGCAACCCTACTGCTGTTAGCAAAAAACTCACCACAAGGTGGACTATGTGCTGAATGAATTATGCTTGAAGTGCTGAGAATGTAATTGGGCTGCACAAATTCATAGTCTGAGAGAAGTCCTCAGTACTACGAAGCATTAGGCTGGTGGCATTTGATTTTCAGTAATAATCCATTTTAAAACTGGAGGTCAACAAATCCTTTCAAATTAAAGGTCTGAGTGTCACATTTGTCAGTTTTGATCTCATTATAAGCTTTGTAATTGATTCTCCTCTTTCACATTTTCCTACCCTTAGGAAAAGCGGGGAATCAGCTTTTGCAGGCTTACAATATCCTTGTAGCAATGGTGCCTACCATTCAAAGCCAATATGCTATTCTTTATACAGTGAGGAAGAAGGTATAGTTAGTCCAAATGCTTTATACCATCTCAGGCACACTCATTTAAGGTCCTGATTCAGCAAACCATCCGTGTGCAAGCTTTTCAGTATGTACATTGCCTTTAATGGGATTTAAGGACACATGTAAGTCCTTTGCTGAATGGGCATGTGTTTAATTGCCAGACTTACACTGTTTGTAGTTACTCAGTTTGCATAGCACACGGGGATCTTGTTTTCCCAGGAAGTAAACACGTGCCTTCTCTGCAGGCAGATTGCAATAAAGCACCTAAGCCTCACTGACTTTCAGCTGAAATGATGTGCTGGTTCAAAAATGGTTTGCTGCCTTTTTGTTAAAATGGTCTGCTGCTGCTTCTTTAAAAGCTTACATGCTTTTAAAGTAAAGACTGTTTTCTGATCTCTGGTGCAAGTATCATCTTTAATACTTGAGTTTTATATCAGTGAACAGATATCAAAAAACTGGCTTAACAAGATGCTGATCCAGTCAAACTGGGTGCCTTACTTAGCAATTTCTGTCCTATAATTCTTAGTACAAGTGTCCTACAGAGTGGGAGAAGGTGAGGATGGATAGTTCCACTGTGTTTAGTGGCAAAAGACATTCTTGGTACTTTCTAAACCATGGGACACTTCTGTACAGAAGCTGTGAAAGTGAACTCTGCTTTTGACCATGTATGTAGGACCTCTCTAAGGTCCTTTGTTGTTGCGTATTATGATTCTATAGCTGTTGATCTTTATTCCCATTATAGTTCATATGTCTTCCTGAACATTGACTGGCTTCCGCTCTTTTTTTTATTACTTAATTTAATTCTTTCCAGGTTGATCAGTGAAGCTGAAGAACTAACGGAGTCCATTGAATCCCTGAAGAAAAAACTGCTGGAATCTGAACAGTCTCTGAGGAACTTGGAAGACACACGGATGAATTTAGAAAAAGAAATAGCTGTGAAAACAAACAGTATTTTTATTGATAGGCAAAAGTGCATGGCCCATCGCACACGCTACCCGGTTGTTCTTAAATTAGCAGGTTACCAGTAGTAATCTCTGTAACTATGCAAAGTCTGCAAGAAAAATGTAGTCTAGAATCTTTCATATAAAATACATGGATAATATTATACACAGAAGTACTGTATTCACTGTTATTTTCCTCTATTTGGGGTAGAATGCATTAGTATGGTGGTCTTTGAGTCTTGCCTTTAGAAGTTCAGTCTGAGTACAGATGTTTCTAGTGGGTTTCAAATAACTTAAAGTTAATTCAGTACAACTAGAATTTCTCTATGCCATACATGCATAATTTGCACAGTATGTGATATTTGTGCTTTTCACCCTAATAAGTGAATATGCTAAGTGAATATTGTGAATAATAATAATATACACGGAGGTAGATAGAACATTTATAGCTTTCGAGCATTTTCAGGCAGCCTGAAATGAGAGCAATAAAACTGCTTGCCTGACAGATCACATGATCAGCAAGGAAATAGATGATAGACTTTTAAGCTGTTCAAATATTATTAGCTAAAAAAACAGTTTGCACAGGTTAGATTATAATCTGACTATTGGCTAAACCACTCCCAGTCCGTGATACCTGTTTATGTAATCTGAAAACAAGTCCAAGGATTTTTAACCTTCAAATTAATAACTTTAGGGGTGGTTTTTTTCTGAAAAAAAACTAGACAGCTTGTGAATAGCAATTGTGACTTTCAGTTTAAGTACTTGGATGTTGAATTGAGCTCTTGATCTGTTCCAACCGTTCCCTGGAAGCAAGGCATGTGTTTGAACTATTACCCATAATGGAGAACACATCAGATTCATCTACTCCAGTAGAGCAATGTAACAAATGTCATTCATCCATTAGCTTAGTAGGCCACTTGGTTAAATAGGTGACGTGTCAAAAAATGGGGAAAGATGACACGGAACAGAACTGTATTGTGGTTTCCTGTATTACAGTTTTTTACTTTTAAAAAGCAGCTGATCAAAGAGAGGAAAAAAAACCCAACTGAAAAAGCAAAACACACAAAAAAACCCTAGCCAGCATACACTTCTGAATAGCCCTGCTCTGTTAACCAGAGCAGGAGAGGCCATTAGCTTATCTGTTTTTCTCACCGACAGCTATTTGTATTACCTTAACTCAGGATGTGCAGAGCACTATTCAGCAATTGCCCTCCTGCTAAAAGCTACTACCATTTCTTTGAAAACCAGCTGCGTCAGTGAGGGCTTTTGGCTCAAGCCTCTATTTTACAGGCTTTTTGTTCAAGAGTTTTGTTTTGCCTTTTTAATAGATTTCCTCTTCATTATTATATTTTTATAGTCCAGATGTTGAATCCTTATTAGAGAGAAATAGCATGTAGGTTAAAAAAAATAAATGTGGCTCTACTATGGTTTTCTGTGCACGGAACTTAAAACAGTTACTAAAGATTATTTTGGTAGATTGGAAACATTCTCCTTCATTCTGCCTTAAAACACCTTCAGCACCTTTCTTCCTGGCAGCATATTCTAGCTTGTTCTTCATGCTCAAATCTTACAGCCTAATCGGTGGATCACACACCTTGGATGCAGCTGCATCACTGCGCAGCTGTGTACAAAACTGACTTTAGCTGCACCAGAAGAATAAAATGCTTTAAAGAGTGTTTCAGTATACAGAGCTGTGGTATTAAGAGTTTTGGTCATTTAGCCCCAACCTTCAGACAGTGCTGCTTGTTTGGTCACATGTACATTTCTAGGAATGCACATAAAATAGAGGGGAAAATAAGACAGTGAACCAGGATTTAGACTAATGGGAATATTCGCAGGAACTTTTTAGAAAATACGGAAAGGAGCAACATATTCAAATTGACCTTACTCACCCACTAAAGAAAAAAAAAGTGGAATCAAAGTGGAATTGGGTTATAATTATGGCAGATGGGATGAGGAAAATATGCAGTCCAGGGCCCAAAACTATCATTTTGATTCAAGAGTTTTGCATTAGAGAGAGGAAAGGAAAAGTGCTGTCATCTTCTCTGAGACTGTGCTGAGCTACAAATAACCTTATGCCCCATATTGGGTTGTAAAAGGAGCTTTCCCTAATTAAAGCCTAGCAGTTTAATTTACCTTTGTGAACTAAATTAGTCTGCCTTTGCTTTAGGCCAATGAAGGAAATCCTGCTCTGGTAAAGGTAATACATTGGCTGGAGTGTAATCACTGCCCTATTCACATGGTAATAGATGAATATGAGCAGGTTGTAAGAGTGAGAATCGGACGGAATAGCTTCAAGTTTCAGTAATTATTTTTTTCTTCAATTACTAATTTTTAAAAAATCATAATTAAAGCCACTGCTCTGGCATGTAAATATGTTTTATATTATTTTTTCATCATTCATTCTTAAGCTGAGGATTTACCAGCAAATATTTTAAAAGATGTTTTAGCTGGCTCTCATGTGAGCTGGGGTCACAGGTGAGCTATAGCTTCCAATTGTCTTGAGCTCTACCTGCTAATCTGTATGAAAAGTGAGGGCTATTTTTACTTTAGGATTTTTTTTGTTTATTATTATCCTGTTTATTATTGTCCTATTTGTTTGTTATTATCCTGAGAGATTTCTGGTTATGAAGACACTTTCTGGAAAGTCTGAGAGTTTTCTCATCTGCTTAGAGCTAGAGGAAGGAGTTAACAGTGTGATAAATGATACCTTATAATGCCTGGTACAGGGACTTTAGGAAAAACCAGGTGTGAAGACCCATTAAAAACTTATTTATCACTTAAGAGCAGATGACATTCTGTAAGGGGAGCAAAGAAGGTTATAGAGAAATGGGAGATAATATTTGTGTAGTAATCTTCTCATGAATAATTGATTTTCTCTAAGACTGAATCTTAGAAAAACTGTCTAATAATTTCAGCCTTGTACCGTGTCACTGGTCACTAAAAAAATTAGTATCAGAGTGGCAAACACCAGTTCCGAGATGCCCAGGTGAGATTTTTCAGAAGATTCTGCTTTTGGACCCCCGGCACATGGTACAAACAATACCTGCTTAAAATATTGGTCTTCAATTCAATCTGCATGGAAAATAGCCACAAGGACAGCCAGTAACACCAGACATGTCTTAAACAAGAGATCTGAACACAGGCATTTTTTTTTCTGTTGTTCTTCAAGATTCTGTTTGAGGTAATTTGCAGCGTAATTACAAAATAACCCACAGAGAAGTGGAAATTACTTTTAAATCTTTTCCTGAGCAATTTTTCCAAGTAATTTCTGGGTAGTCTTTTAGTTCTGCTGGCACCTCTAAGTAAATTGCATCCCAACATCAGTCTTCACAGTAATAAAAGCCGCAGTAACAGTTTTATGGCCACGTACAGTGCTCATTAGCGGCCTATTTTATTCCTAGGAAGTGCCTGATTTCTAGGTCCCACACTGGGTCCACGGCAGGCTGAGAGCAGGAGCAATGAAGAACCTTTAAAGCAGATCCAAAAATTCCTCGCACAAGGGTTGTTTGCAGGATCATTGCACGGTTGGTTGTTTGCAAACCTTGTTTCCACATATTGGATCCCCTTTTCCATGTCCAAAGTGGCCGGATGGTCTTCATAGCTTCAAGAGATGAATCCCAGCTGAACAGGAATGAGGAGAACTGGCTGAATGGGGAAAGATCAGTGCAGCTGATATGTCCATGAACAAACAACCGGAGCTGGACTTGCCATTAATAACATCATTGGGTATTACCTAGTAACTGAGTAGCATTTGATAAACATATTCATCTTAAAAGTTTCTTAAAGTCTGTTGGAAAATAGCCATCCACTATTTGTCATTCTTCTGCTCAGAGTTTATATAGAAGTTAATAGATATAAAACATTTCATGTGCCCAGGTACCCAAGCAGACTTTGACCGATCCACATTGTGAGCAGACTGTACTTTGGTCCATTGTTGTTCAAGCTCTTAAACCAACGCTTAAGCCCACAATTAACCAGAGGGGTTATGGAAGCCTGCAAGAAAGGTTGCCTTCAACACACAACCTTACAGTACCTGCTCACTCCAGACACCTTTGTTACTAGAGGCTTTGCACTCTCCCTTCTCTGGGAACATGCTCATCACCACATGGATGAGAAATAGTTTATCTCATCGAAAACTTTTGCTTCCAGTTCCTGCAAAGAAAGTTTGCCTGAAGGAAGGCTTCAGTGGGGCTCCTGCATTTCTTCTGCCCAGGGGAAGAAGCATCAAGCCTTGTAATGTCTTCATTGAGACAGAAACACTCACGATGCACCCGAACGAGATCTCACCCTTTGAGCCGCTGAATGCCTTTAAATTCCCACTGCTGCTTGTTGTCTCAGGAGGAGTGATGGGCCCCTCAGGATCATTCCTCCCCGAATGAGGAACAACAGATTGTTCTCACCATCCTGTGGGTGATGAATGCAGGTGTTTCTATGACAACCTCACTACCGCATCCTTATTTCAAAAAACCATGTGTACAGGGGGATATTCTGGTTACTACGACTTGTTGCATATGCCAGGCACATGCACTTTAGTCCCATGAGTTCCTCTTAAGCTTTCCTTAGAAGAAAAAATAAAGGAGGATGGGAAGAGTAAACAAGTTGAGTATTTAGGAGGACTAGACAGTAAGAAAATTCCTGTTTGAAGCAAGCCCACGTTGACAAACATTTTAGACACCTGGTTTCTACGACAATATTTCAATCCCACGGGTTTTGATAGGAATTAGGAAAATTATACTTTTGCATCACCCATAGTACTGTTGTGCTGTAAGGAAAATCAGCTGCTGCAGTAATACCCTCTCCTGCAGCGACGGCTTTTACCCCAAACACTGACAATGGAGACGGCTCCAAACGGGGGTTACGGAAGTGTGCCTCGGTTTGCCCGAGTGCAGACTACGCAAGGAGACACTTTGTTGTGGACGTGGTGGCAGGAGTTAGGCTCTTTGTGTGTAACCTGTTGTTTGGAAATGCAGAAGCGTGGCAATTTGTTGGAGGATTAATCCACTTTGGTTCCCCCATTTTCTCCTTTTCCCTTACATCTTGCAATTCAATCATATCAAACATGCTTATGTCCCTGCTCGTGATGCTTCTTCATATATGGAGAGAAACTTCATCTTTTCTCTTTAAATTCCTTTTATTATCTATTTGGAGAATGAAAAAAAGAAGCCAGACTGTAAGTCAAATCTCCATGGAAGAACTTCTATGCTCCTCTCAGATGCTG